ATAATATATATATATATATATATATATATATATATATATATATAATATTTTATTATTATATATTATATATATTATATATATATATATGTTTATTATTTATATATATATATATATATATTTATTTATATATATATATTTATTTATTTATTTATAGAACCCATTCCAGGCGAGTTTTGGTGTTTTCAGTTGACGACGAGTGACGGTGATAGTGACGGTGGCGATAACGATGACGATGACGATGACAATGACGATGACAATAACGATGACGATGACGGTGACGGTGACGGTGACGGTGACGGTGACAATGACGATGACGATGTCGATGAAAATGGCGATGACGATGGCATAGACTCTGACAAGTTCCTTTAGTTCGCTTAATGACTTGAAAACGAGTTACGGTTATAATTCCAATGTTCAAGTTAAGTTAAAGCCTTTTTCACTTCATTAAAGGAGAGTCTAAATTTGGATTGGGGTTAGGCTGTTGTGAGGTCGATGGTGATGGTACCTGTGCCACCACCGAGCCCCTCCCCTCGGGCAAGACATTTCCTCCGCCACCGCTGTTCATGCCGACGTTGCTCCCAGCGCCTCTTTCTCGCATTCTTTCACAATAATCTGCGAATATATCACGAAAACGCTCCCAGGATTTTTCTGGTACGGTGATTGCTGTTCTAAAGTGTGTCTTCACCTGTAAAAGCATATTCTTTTTACCATGTTTTTCTTCTTATTTCTTTTTTTTTTTTTTTTTAACACTTAATTTCGTTTTCTTTCAAATTAAATATATAGTATTAACTTATCAAATTAAGTATATAATATTATATTTAATTGTGATTTTTTGAATCGATATTCTACATTGATATATTTGCAGACTTTATATTATTAAACAATAAAAAATCGTAGTAAAAACATTAATGTTAATATAATATAATATAATTTATAGTAGTTTCCAAGTTCTAATTATATTAATAATTTTCTCCAATAATATTCTATATTAATAATTTTAATAACATTCTTATTATATTCTTATTATCATAATATTATAATTTAACTTCTAATATTATCATAATTTAAAATCATATATTATATTAAGCAACATATAATATAATATTAAGATTATATATCTCATTTGTCAAAGATTTATAATTATATAACATATTAAGATTTAAATTATCTTTTCTAAGTAAATTTGCAATTATTTTGATTGATAATCATCTTGATTTATAATAATTGAATATTTATAACGGATATACTGTACATAACATTAATATTTATATATTTATATATAATCTCAATTTGATGTGAATAATTACAAAAATAAATTGATCAAAGAAAAGAGTTTTATGAACTTTTCTCCATCCTCTCAATCCACCTTTAAAGTAATTATAAGTAATATTCAGCCATGTTAAGAGACACACCCTGTATTTTTAGCTAACGATACGCACGTACCTCAGAAATTCTCATGTAGATACCACGGTTATTCTGGCCGATATCAAAATAGAAATTCTTGCTATCCACGCGCATGTATCGTCCCTCTGGTAAGTCACCCTTGAAACCGCCATCGTCCGTACCGTATTCTTCGAGGAGGTCTGTCAACGCGTCACGGAACTCGATCATACCCTGTGCTGGTATCGCGATCTGCGTCCTGGGTCCTCCTCGTGTTATCGTCTGCGACACCTGTGCAACAAATAATATTATGTTAACAAATATTTTATAATAAATTCTTTTTTTTTCTTCTTTTCTTTTCTTTTCTTTTCTTTTCTTTTCTTTTCTTTTCTTAAAATTGAAGCATGTGCAGATAAAAACAGCTTATTCGATTAAACCATATTTTTCTTGAAATATCTCCCCAGCCGAGTTTCTTTTTCTAAATGTTTTTACCATCTGAAAAGGTTGAGCCTTTCACTTCAAGACTGTATCCACAAAGGACAGACTCTCTCTCTCTCTCTTCCTTATCAGTTAGCGTAGAAAGTAAATGCATTGGCTGGTACATACAGGGTGACTCACCCGCAGGAAACGGCCGCGAGTATTTTCCTTGAGGTCCAAGTAATACCGCCTATTATCCTTTGTCATCACTTCTGATTTTAATTTCCCATCGTCTGGCACGTTCTCCGAGTTTGGTGGACCTATAAATTCGAAAATTTAAACAGGGGAAAAAATAATAAATATTTTCTAACATCTATTCGTAATTTTTTTTTTTTTTTTTTTTTTTGGAAGAACAATTGTAAATACTTTTTAAGTATGCAGAAATAACGAATAAGAATGGAAAAAAGAAAAAGAAAAAAAGAAAAAAAAAGAATAAAAACTATTATTACAAAAATCCTCATTAAAAGGAATGTTTCGTTTACATATAGTGCATATTTTTCTATAAACAAGAATTTATCTTTTCTTTATATTTGTTATAAATGTTAAAATAAAAATTATAATTCGAGGCAAATCTTTTTCAATTGAAACCAATGAAAATTTCAATTGAATTGACGCACAACAACAACAAGAGACTTTTCTTCAAGCGCATTGCATTGTGATGCATGAAATCTTAGAGCAATAATTGAAGATTGCATTTTACCTAAAGATGCATAAAAGTCACTAAACGTCGAAAGGTAATTCCGAAACTCGGATGCTGTGCTAAGTGCCAGGTAGATTTGGCTTCTTCTTCCATCGGCGCCGATCTGAAAAATAAAAATATTTTACTTCTCTTTTCTTATATCTTTTTTACATTTAAAAAAAAAAAAATTTTAATTTCAAAGTATATTTAAATCTCTTAGTGACATTGAATCATAGCTAGATCCATAAAAATTTGAATTATTTTAATTATTTTATTTCAGTTTTACTTTTACAGATAGATATCTTAAATATTATTGTACACATTATCGTACATAAATTAAAATTTATTATTTGTGTAAAATTAAAAGTATTTATATATCTAATGTAATTTATATTAATCATTTTCTAAATCGTTCATTTATATGCACAAATATTTACAAATATCTCATTTATATCATATTCTAAATCGTATATTTATATTCTTCGACATTGTAGAATTTATATTTTGTTGTAATTATCAATTAAAACGATAACAGTTGAAACTTGAATCTGAAAATCGAAACGATTGAAATTCCTACAAAGAATAAGATTTAGAAATACCTCGGCTACTTTGATAAACCTCCCACGTCTGTTCTGTTTTACATCAAGATAGAATCTTTTACTCTGGATCTGCAACATCTTCGTTGCCAATTCCTGTTCGCCTTGCTGACCTTGCTGGCCTGAAATCATTATACAAATCTAATTAATATCATTTTTTATATTCATCAATAATTTACAATTACCGTTTAATAAAACTGTCTCGTTTCACCATTTATGCCTATAATAGTGTTTTGTAACTGCAAATTCCTTGATGAAAAGAATAAATGAAGACATTTTGTATTTTGAACTTAAATGAAATAAAAATTTTTAAAATTTTTTATTCTTATTATTAAGAAATTTTGTGTTATAGATCAGTATAAAGTATTTCCATATCTATGCTATATAATATTCCAAATTAAAAGATTATTTTATTTTATTTTTTT